AGAAATTAATTAGACCCAAATTAATTGAAGAAACTACCTCTAAGATTGTCCTAATTAAGAAAAACCTTCAAACCACCCAAAGCAGACATAAGAATTATGTAGATAACTATAGAAGGGGTTTGGAGTTTGAAACAGGGGATCATGTGTTCTTGAAAGTGTCACTAATAAAGGGCCTTATGAGATTTGGAAAGAAAGATAAATTGAACCCTTGCTTCATTGTACCATTAAAAATACTGGAGAGAATTGGATCGATTACATACCGATTGGCATTGCCATAAGAGTTGGCTAACATCCATGATGTATTTCGTGTATCCATGGTACGCAAATACCATCCTGATCCCTCGCATGTAATTCAGTATGAGGAGATTCCTATTGATGAAGATATATCCTATCAGGAAATGCCCATAGATATATTGTACAAATAGGAGCGGATATCGAGGAATAAGACTATTTTGATGGTTAAGGTACTCTGACGACATCATTTGCCAACGAAAGCTACTTGAGAAATTAAAGATTCGATACGAGCTCGATTTCCTCACCTACTATATAGATATAGCAATTTGGAGGACCGGATTTTTATAAGGAGGGGACAATTGTAATATTCACCTAAAAAGAAAAAAAAAAGAACTGTAAATAAAAATAAAAATTAGAATTATGATTTAAATGAAAGCATTTAAGAAAAAGGATGTAAAAACATAAATAAGTGGAAGTAGAAGGGGGCAAAAGAAATCAGGAAAAATGGATGGTGCAGATCGGACCACTGGAGGAGATTAGATGAAGGATATTTAAAAGGAAATAGACGGTCCAGATGAAGTCATGAAGATCCAACAGCTGAGGGAACGGGTATAAAAGAGAAAGAGATTCGGGTTTCTTTCATTTGGGAGAGAAGCCGAAAAAGAGAAAGAAAGAAAGAGGCAATTAGGGAGAGAAGGAAGAGAGGATGTCGCGCGGGGAAGCTGAGAGAGAGAAAAGAGAGAGGAAAGAAGAGAGAGGCCGGAAAAGAAGAAGGGAAGGGAAAAAAAGGAGAGAAAATAGAAAAGAATGAGGTGGCTGAGTGGGAAGAAGAAAAGTCGAGAACGACCGTGCAAGAGGAGAGGATACGAGAGAGAATCGCGAAAGAGGAAGAAGAAGAAGGGGAATCGTGACCGAGGAGCACCGTGTGATGGTGGAATCCAAAATTGAGGTTGTTTGGGTTTTTCGAGCACCATACCCGAGCTAGATGCGTTCATTTTCTTCTTTCAGTTTGTATTTTTTACCAAACGAGTGTTCACTTGTGTGTGTGTATGTGCAGGTTTGGGGCTAAAGGACCACAGAGTAGCTGAGAGGAGACCACCGGGAGCTAAACTGAGGCCGAATCGCCCCATGCCAGAAAGATAAAACTTTTTTGTGTTTTTGGTGGTTATTGAGCGGGGGTGGAGCGGGGATGGTGTCTGGCTGGCTGCGCGGGTTTGGCCAAGCCACCCATCCATATGGGAACCGAGGAAGCTTCCTTGGGAAGGGGGAAAACCCAACCACCGTGGAAGCCAAAGGGTCTTCTGCGGGAATAGAGGCCGAAAGG